TCACCGGTGCCCTTGGGTCATAGGGCTGATATGAATTTCAAGTGAGGCTAGGCATTTTCAAATATCACATTTTGTGGTGAGATTGTCGATGAAGCAAAGTTATATTTCCTGTAGCAATCGATTGCATTACTTATTTTTCGTTTCCAAGTAGGTTATCGAGACTAACAATTGATCACATATATGAGGTGTATTCATCCTACTTCTTTTAAGGTGATGGGTTTTGGGTAGAGTTTTGACCTCGAATCTGGCTCATCAGCACCACCAGGGGCATGTTACCACTCTCTGTACATATATGGGTTCTAGTAAGTCGCAGGACAGATGCAGCATTCATTTTTATACTTGAATTGTAGATATGCAGGCATGTTATTCCCATTGCAATCTATGACGTTAGCTATTTTTAATTTATGTTCATTTAGAAACTGATATTAATTGTCTTATTTAAACTGATTTATAGTGGTCTGACCGTATATGTACTTTGAGTTAGCTTTAAAGTTTCGACGGTTGAACAGAGAATTGGCCAAGAGAATTGCCTTCAATTGTCACGTTGATATATTGTAACTCTGTGCTAACAATGACGCCTCTCAATGACAGCGCCGACTACGATGCCAGCTAAAGGTTTGGGAATGCACCATGTCAACGGTCCAATGCTAGTAATCATCATAAGTACTATAGCAGACGACATAGGACTAGGTACGCTCCACAAGCGCCCCTTATCGAATGACTAAGTTGCGAAAACGTGGTCAAACCAATACCAGCCTCCATTTTGGCTTAACTACGAAGTCAATAATGACTCTGGCCACAAGGCAGCTTCCGTCGTTACAGACGTAAACGACTTAAGCTTGATTCCTTAATTTAGTTTTTTTGGTGAATTTTTCATAATTGATAGTCTCTGGCTCTGACGATGTCCATCAGATGACGGATTAAAACTCACTACGGAATCATCGCACAATCCAGAAGTCACAAATCCCAGGAAATCCTCCTTGGGTGTTCGGGGAGGCCAATTTACGACTCCATCCCTGCACTGAACAAACAAAAGGCATGAAAAGATCATAATTGTTGTCGAAACCCAACTTTTCTTCGTATATGAAAAGATCAAACTTTTAGGGGATTCTTAAAGACCCAACTTTTTTCATATGTATGCAAGTATTTAAATGCATTTATGATATTTTTCCTCTATTTGTGCATGTTAATATGAGCGTATGTTTGTATGTAGATATGCATAAATATATATATGTATTCATCTTACATGTAAAAATGTATATATATATATATATATATATA